ACAACTATAATATACCTGTGTAAGCATGCTTGTACTGCTTCAGCTTATTCTTTTCCCCCCATACATTGGAAAGCTGTTCCAATGCAAGTATACAGGTATATAGGTACTACATCCACACTAGGACTGCATGATTATATAATAAATGTAATTATAACAGTGTAAAAAAAAAACATACACCCTAGTGAAGAGTGTAGATCAGGCTCAGGTTAACATGACTGAAAAGGATTCTGAATGCTTGTTTAGATGCAGTCCAACAAGGCCTGCTAACTCTTTCAAATCAGCATGTTAGCTGAATCTTAATGAGCATTCAGAGTACAGCATCACTGAAAAACCATCCCAACCACGCTAAAAATTGGAAGGGGTGGGGAGTACCAACTATCTGCTATCCACCCATCAGGATGGGGCTCAAGTATCCTAAGGCCAGTGACTACCAACTGAGCACATTTTTAAGAGTCAGATAGGCTTCTTGCAGATCTTAAAAAAACAAAACCAAAAACAAATGGTGCTTTACTTTAAACTCAGTGCCCTCCCACACCAAGCCCACTGCATGCCCGGAAGAGGCAGCGCGTTAGTTGGACCCAGCTCACCTGATGTCTGTATAGATCAAGTGCTTTAGTGGGCTTTTTGGTGCTTTTAGCTAAAGCTGATTCAATCAGGTATTAGACTGGTCTAATAATTGGTCTAAGCGCTTGGTTTATGCAGATGCTGTGGAGCCGGGTCAAACTAACGCACTGCTTCTTCCAGTAAAGCACGGTTTTGTTTTAACAACTGTAAGCAGCATAGTTATTTACTAGATTTCTCTTTTGGCATCTGAATTAAAGTTCTAAAGATTTCAGATCTTGGTGAAGATAATAATGGTTTAATCTCAGTATGCTTAACCTCAATGTTGTTCCTTCTCTAAATCTGATTTCACAAATATTTAAGTGGGGAAATTAGCTTCACCTCTATAAAATGCAGACCAGATCTGCTTACTTGATGCTTGCATACTGCCAGTCTGCCCACTCTACACTTGATCTGAGCCTCCAAGAGGACAAAGACTTGTTAATTTACAGCAGTGATTCTTTATCAGGGTGCTTTGAGATGCTTTCAGGGGTGCCACACAATGTTAGCACTGGTAGGTGTATGATTCACAAGATAAGCCCAGGAATTTAAAATAGGAATCCATAGTGTTAAAAACACTTTGACTTACTGTGGTCTTTCTGAGTTCTTTGCAAGATAAGTTGCTGTTATTTTTCCAAAGTCAAAAAATGAGTGAAAACAAAGAGCTGGCATTTTCCAAAGGGTGCCCCAAGTCTAAAAAGGCTGAAAACCACTCATATACCATCTCCCAAAATAGGCATGTCAGAACTCCTAAACTCTCATGTCTTCTCCTGACCAAATATTTACTCCATTTTTTCCTTTGTACCAACCAAGCCAGCTGCCACCTTCACCACTGAAGTAATAAAATGTACATTTTAGATTTGTTATGCACTCTTCTAATCTGACAACCCCATGTTGCTGAGACATGGTTACGCATTTCAGAAACACTGCTTTATAGACATTTTAATAGTCAGTTTCAATATTTTCAATGACTATGGAAAGCTAAAACTGGAGGGAACAACTATCCATTATTCAGGCTAGCATGATGGGAAGCACAACTTACCTTATCAAGTGGGCTTATACCAGCACTTATTTAGAAGGGTTAAAGCTGACTGAATTTCTAATTTAAGAGTCAATTCATAACCCAGAGAGTCCATTTCAGAAAGTACATAGTTAACAAATTGTTTAGCTGAAGGTCCTTCAATTATTTGTTTGCTTAAAGTGTTTTAAGGCATCCTTGGAAATGGATAATACCAAATTCAGAAATGCCAAGGGACATCTTCTGATAAATGGTAGTGTATTACACATACTGAGAAGCTTCTTAGTCTCTCACTGAAGATTACAGAATCTTCCTAGCAATTTTAGTTCTGAACTCATGACCTGCTATATTTTACCTCTGTACTGCACGCTTTCCAAAGTAAATCCGAAGTAGCAAAACTCTCACCAAAAAACCGAGCACTATATTATATTCATAACCTGTATGTCTAATAAAAGCCAACTGTCAGTTTTCCTTGCACATTTTAACATTCTACTTAATATTCAAGAATAGATATATGTTAACTGTGCATCAAAAATAACACCTCTTCTGTTCTGATTGAGGTTTATCTTAGTGTGCACTAAAAGCATCTTCAACAAAGATTTAACAACCATGTTACAATGAATCAGCCTCAAGTGGCAATTTTTAGTAGCAACAGAGTATATTTCTCATCTGTCATTTCTTTTAATACTCTGAGACTTCACTACAGGGATGTTAATACCAAATCACTGTCTAACATCTGTAAATATATATCAAGAATAGTGCAGATCATTAATTGATCTTTTTGTTTTGCATTAAAAGCGATAACCAATTTTGAGGAGACGGCCCATTTTCCTCATCTGGAAGGAAGGTAACTGCCAGTGAATCCTCTTGGCTGTTACTATTACAATCCTCCTGGAGTGAAAGTTCAGTTTTTCCAGATGGTTCAGCTGAGACCCAGGAACAGGAAACTGAATGCAGGCTGCCTGCACGTAATACAGGTTACTGCTACCAAGCAGCCAGGTAAATTCATTCTTACTGAATAACATAGGTCATGCTCTGTTGCACATGTGGCGACAACGTCTCATCCTTTTTCCTCAAGTGCATATTTTCCTCTACAAAAAACAAAATACTCAATATTCAGTTGAAAGTGAAGCATCATGTGTCATAGTTTCCCCTAAAATATTCAAAACCTTGTTCTTATGCCTTTGTCAAAAAGTTTAATTACCAAGTTGGGCGGGGAGGAATCAAAACTTTAGTGAATTCCAAGAGTCCAACCAGCATGTTGCCTAGTCGGTCTACAGATAAAGCATTCAGCGCTCGAGTAACACACCATATTGTTAAAGTTTCTACATTGCTACTGCCATGCATTCAGAATGTGTGAAAAAGCCATGCAAAGTTTATAAAGCAGATGGCACCACAAGCCATGATCAAGTTTTTATACAATTACTACATTCTCGATGGAGTTCAGTACGCAAGCCTGGTAAAGGGGCAGAAATCCTGCACATGCTCTTGTTCTCTCGAATTCCCCATTTCATCTGTACAAGTTCTGAATACAAGTATTTTGTCAACTTCAGGAGTGCTAACAGTTGAGTCAAGTGGGCAGTCAACGCACCCCTACGAACTGAATGAAAGTATTAAGTAGGAAGCAATACCAAGGATGGCAAGGGAAACTCAGGTGCGATGCCAAGAACACGCTTGGCCTCTGCAATTTCAAAAAAAGAAAACAAAAAATGAAGTGATCAGATTTTTTAAATCACTGCTCCACTTGCTAAACCCTGCGCCAGGCTGTTGTCAGCTCATAAGAGCAACTGAGCGTTCAGGGCCAGGCCCGTTTTCCCAGGTCTGTAGAAGGCGCTGTGTGGCAGCTCCTCTCTGTGCATCTGGGGCCCTTCCCCCTCTCTGCAGCAGCCTTACCCGGTGTAGAGAACGCGCCCCCTACTGACTCCAACCCTCATCTCTCCTCGCCACCGACTTGGCTGCGGTGCATTTTGGGTGGGGGCTGGTATTTTTCTTCCATGGCCAGATACCAGAAGCAACAATACAGATTGAATGCAAAGAAACAGGGGGGGAGGAGAAAAGAAAGAAAAAAAGAAAAAGAAAAAAAGGGACCACACACTTAGGTGCATTTATTCTTGCAAAGCCACAGCGCCTGCAAGCATCACCTGAGGCAATCTGAAGGGGGGCATGGGGGAGACCCTGCAGCGGCAGAGACAGAAAGCAGCATCGCGGGGCTTTATTTCCCCTGCCTTTGTCTGAGCAATGGGCTGCAGGAGGTGCAGCCCGGGATGGAGGGGGTGGCCGGCTG